GCCCCTACAAAAATTCGACTTATTAATATGACGAAGTCTTTGCTAGGGACGAAACGCGTTAACTTAGGAGTTGCGTTTTTCATTTTCTCATTCAATTACTTAAAGTTTTTGCTGATATATATGGACTGTATATATATATATATATATATATATATATATATATATATATATATATATATATATATATGTGTGTGTGTGTGTGTGTGTGTGTGTGTGTGTGTGTGTGTGTGAAAATATATAGAAAAATATGAAAGAACTCGTTAGGTAAATAATCCAAAGTTCTTTAGTATTTTTGTTATTATTTTTAAAAAATAATGCTCGATACAAAAGTAGAGCATAAATATAATTATTTATTTTAAAATATGATTCCAACACGCTACATAAGAGTTCTCATGTTTCAAAACAAGGATACAAATTATTAACACCTTACGCCCCTTTGCTTTAAACAATTGCTCTAGCCGCTACCATAGAAATTTTGATTTCAATAATGAAATAAGTTATTCCCAAAAAAAATTTCACTTGAAGATGGAACAGAGTTTAGTACTTTAATTCAATTTAATTCAAATAATTATATTGAAGTTTTCGGCTCTTGTTTTGAAACATGACAACTTTTATGTAGCGTATTGGAATCATATTTTTAAATAAATAATTATATTTATGCTCTACTTTTGTATCGAGCACTATTTTTTAAAAATAATAACAAAAATACTAAGGAACTTTGGACTATTCACCTAACCAGTTCCTTCCTATTTTCTATATATTTTCACACACACACACACACACACACATATATATATATATATATATATATATATATATATATAGGTCAGTTATGCATTCTGTCAGAGGATGTTGCATTCCTGCGGCATAAATTTTAATATCGACGCTCCGTTTTTTAACATGGCGGTTTCATAGGCGGTTGAGAAGGCAAGATAATTCAATATTTATCATATTGGCTCTGTTTATATATTCCTTTATATTTTATATCGATTACAAAAGTAGAGCATAAATATAATTATTTATTTAAAAATATGATTCCAAATCGCTACATAAGAGGTCTCATGTTTCAAAACAAGAGCCGAAAACTTCAATATAATCCTTTAAATTAAATTGAGTTGAAATTAAAAAGGGCTCCGTTCCATCTTCAAGCGAAATTTTTGTTGGAATAACGTATATCTGAAATTTACTTGTTTTAAAAATTGAAATCAAAATCACCGTGGTAACAGCTAGGGCGAATTGTCTAAAATGGGTAGGCGAGTGTAGGGTGTTAATGATGAGTAGCGGTATAGAGATACTTTCAAGATGTCATACATTGAATCAGTTAGCAATATTAATTCAATTAATGGCGAAATTTCTACTGTAACAGACTTAATATGAGCATTAAATAACAAACTATTCACTGAATGATGCGATTCTTATGGATAAAATTATTGTCAGATGGAGTTGGTGTATTTTTTATAGATGCAAGTACTTTCAAGGACTTCATGTCCTCATCACCAGGCTGTAATTTTTTTCCTTTAAAATCAAAACTCGAAGACGAAATAAATGTGTTGTAGACCGTAAGATGTTTTTTTTAAGAATGTCTTATTTACTAACGGTTATATAATATTGGAACATGCAAGTCGCAACGCTAAAGTTCAAATATTTCAAGTGGGAATTTTTTTATATGAATTTTGGAATTTGGTAAATCCACGAATTCTTTTGTTGTAAGTGTTTTCCAGTTAACGTGACATGAACTAAGTACATAGTTTAATTAATAGAGTGATATGTCTTAGGAGTTTTTTTTGTTCTCCGGAATTTCGTACTGCGGATCAATTGTTTTCATAAACGCATTATGTTACGCAATATATATTTTATATTATAAAGAGATAATTATACAGTGAATCAATTAGCAATATAATGAAATGGACAAAGTCCGATAATTATTTTTTAAGACATTTTTTTATGTTTATACATTCTTTTTATAGATACAAATATTTAAGTAAATGCTCTGTTTATTATAAACAGTATTTACCGGCCTGAATGTCCGAGAAATTGTCATAGAAAATATGCATCCTCCGACAGGAATCGAACCTGTATCCTATACGGAACCGTCATATAGTCTGGTGTGCCTTTAACAGATTGGGCCACAGAGGAGCGTTCGGTTACTAAGGTCGATTTTACTGCTTTTAAAGACATTTCTCCATGATTTTTTTCTCATACATTCGTATCTGCTCAATGCGTATCCAAATGTAAACAAATGACGTCACACATTATGAAATGGACAAAGTCCCACAATTAATTTTTAAGACATTTTTTATGTTTATACATTCTTTTTATAGATACAAATATTTAAGTAAAAGCTCTGTTTATAATAAACCGTATTAAATATTTATTTAAATATTAAATTTTTGCATCTATAAAAAGAACGTATAAACATAACAAAAATGTCTTAAAAATATATATATATATATATATATATGTGATGTTTTTTAGTCGCCGTTGGATCACAGTAAAAGTATTGTGAATTAGTTTTTCGGGGTGGGGGGCTACTGCAGCCTACTTCGGTACCTGTTATTGAATAATTCATATGTGTGTGTGTGTGTGTGTGTGTGTGTGTGTGTGTGTGTGTGTGTGAAACATAATTGACAAACTTAAAAAAAAAATTTAAACTTTTTTTAAATTCCATATCCTCTCCAAGACGTATGCAATCTTGACTCATTACTTTTCTTCATCTGGGACTTCTCGACAAAATCCAAAGAAGAACCTGCAATCTGATCGGTCTTGACTTGACATCTCTACTTCAGACACCTTTTCTCACAGCTGCGACGTGGCTTCCCTCTGTCTTTTCTATTAATATTTTCATGGCTACTGCTCTGATCAGCTTCTTTTTCCCCGAGTGTCCCGACTACATGAATTTAAGCGTGTTACTACATTGGCATCAAGCTCCCGCCTATTTGCTGTTGAAACAGTTAAATGTAACCGCCACTTCTAACCCAACACTTTCTTTCCTCGCACTCCCCGACATCGAAACTCACATTCTCTCACTTGCTTCCATGATAACTACAATTTTCAAACATTTAAATACAACATGAATCTCTATCTTCTGTTGCTTTGATCCCTGGCCTTTGTTTCTGTTATGATGTTGATTTGGGGTTAGTAGAGACAAACGCCAAATAACACGTAACAATAAAAAGGGTTTTAATAGGTTGGTAAAGAGGTACAGAAATCGCTTGTGTAGTCAATAACTAGCTCAGCTAAGAACTTCTCGGTCTATCTGTCTTGGTATTTATCGATCCACCCACGAGAACCGAATATGGCACAAGGCTGGTTTTAATGTGGGTATTCCCGAGCCCGTAGGCTCGGCCAAAAATATAGCCTTTGAACCCGCCTAGACGGGTTCAGGCCCTGTCTACCTCCCCGGACGAGAACTTGCCCTTCGGCAAAGCTTCGTTCGGGTTCCTCTCTGCTAACGCAGAGAGTTCGACAGACGTCGCTTACAGTCAAAGACTGTATCACGACTCAGATAGACTCGGAGGTCTTACCCTCTCTGTCTATCTGTCTCCCCCATGTCAACTGACATGCCACTATTTAAAGTCTTTGTTCACAGACGCAGACAAGTTCATCTTCAAGAGGGGTGGTAGGTTTCCGACACAACAGTTTCTTTTCTTAAACCCCCTACAGGCACTCTTTTCTCTCATTTTCACCTTCTGTAAACCCCTGCCTGATAGTGGCGCTCCTGCCTTGCTTGAGGTGAAATGCTTAAAAAATTGTGAATTCCTATGAGTTATTGAGTAATTTAGTGGGAGTAATTCTTCCTTGCCTTCTCTATTGTTTTTGAATTCAGAGTCGTCATTCCCTTAGACTGACTGCCAACCAAGGCTACAGAGCTCATTCTATCCGGCTGCATAACTCGAAATCTGGTTGGGAAGCAATGAATGCATGCCTTTCTGACGGGCATTGATACAAAATTGACACAGAGGAGTAGGCCGGAAAAGAAACTTGGCTCCCTAATTCAATTTTCATCAGAGATAACTATTACAATAAACGCGACTAAAACAGATATATAAATTAAAATAATTACCTTTTTTTTCAGTTGAAAGGAAAAAATAGGAAATAACTCCACAAATAAAGAAAAAGGTCAAAAGAGATTGAGGAGAGCAACCCACATTGCTCATTGATTCCTTTTCTTCTTCTCTAAAAAGAATTTAATAGCAATTGTTGATTTTAATTAATCAACAATTGCTATTAAATTCTTTAAATACAAAAAATCATTTGCTAGTTATTAACAGGTAAAATGAATATTAAACACCAATTCATCTTTCTCGCAATTGACTCTAACAATATTCCAATATTGTCTTCACATAATTTCTTCCAAGGTATCATTAACAGAAATATTCGAAGTTACTTGTGGGCGATTCTATAGACAATATTCAAACGTGTTAATTCAACGCTGGGAGATGGTTAAATTAGTGTTGTGAATACAGAGCCACAATATTTAATGTCCTGCATTTGATTTGCAAGTCTTTATACAACATTGATTGATTAATCCTTATTTAGATATATACACCAATTGAGAATTTATGTCATTAAAATAGATTTGCCTCAATTATAAATGTAAAAACCACCCCTCCATTCCCTCCACCCACGTCTTCCATTGGTGAGAAGTAAGTTCTACTCAAGCAGGTTTTTCCTTCTCTGTGGAACAGACTCCCAAGAGGATATTTTCCCAATCGCTACAATCTTAACTTGTTCAAGTCTAGAATTAACCGTTATCTTTCCCACCATATTCTGAATATATAACGGGGAAAGAAGTCTTGGAGAATTTAACACTCACAGGACGACATAAAAGGTAAGATAAGCATGTCGGGATACAATGAATAACCTACTTGATAAGAAAATTGATGAAGAACCTATTACGAAAACAAAGTGAATGAGTAATACCTTCTGAGAGACGACCATTTTATAAAGTGACATGGCATATAGAGAGAGAGAAAAAGAGAGAGAGATAAAATATAAAATTAAGAGAGAGAACGAGAGAGAGAAAAAGAGAGAGAATATGAAACAAAGCGAGAGAAAGAGAGAAAATATGAAATAAAGAGAGAAAAAGAGAGAGTGAAAATATGAAATAAAGCTAGAGAAATCGAGAGTGAAGATATGAAATAACGAGAGAGAGAGAAAAAGAGAGAATGAAAATATGAAATAAAGAGAGAGAAAGTGAGAGTGAAGATATGAAATAACGAGAGAGAGAGAGAGAAAGAGAGAGAAAGAAAATATGAAATAAAGAGAGAGAAAGCGAGAGTGAAGATATGAAATAACGAGAGAGAGAGAAAAAAGAGAATGAAAATATGAAAGAAAAGAGAGAAAGTGAGAGTGAAGATATGAAATAACGAGAGAGAGAGAGAAAGAGAGAGAGAAAATATGAAATAAAGAGAGAGAAAGTGAGAGTGAAGATATGAAATAACGAGAGAGAGAGAGAGAGAGAAAGAGAGAGAAGGAAAATATGAAATAAAGCGAGAGAAAGCGAGAGTGAAGATATGAAGTAACGAGAGAGAGAGAGAGAGAAAGAGAGAGAAAGAAAATATGAAATAAAGAGAGAGAAAGTGAGAGTGAAGATATGAAATAACGAGAGAGAGAGAGAGAGAGAGAGAGAAGGAAAATTTGGAATAAAGAGAGAGAAAAAGAAATAGAAAATATGAAATGAAGAGAGAGAAAGAGGGATGGAAAATATACAATAAAGAGAGAAAAGAAAGAAAAGAAAATATGAAATAAAGAGACAGAAAAAGAGAAAGAGAAAAATATGAGTTACAGAGAGAGTAAGCCTGAAATGAAGAGAGAGAAAGAGAAAGAGAGTCAAAATATTAAATCAAGAAAAAGAAAGAGAGATAAAATATAAAATTAAGAGAGAGAACGAGAGAGAGAGAACGAGAGAGAGAGAAAGAGAGAGAATGTGAAACAAATCGAGAGAAAGAGTGAAAATATGAAATAAAGTGAGAAAAAGAGAGAGTGAAAAAGTGAGAGAGAAAATATGAAATAAAGAGAGAGAAAGAGAGAGCGAGAAAGAGAGAGAAAATATGAAATAAAGTGAGAAAAAGAGAGAGTGAAAAAGTGAGAGAGAAAATATGAAATAAAGAGAGAGAAAGAGAGAGCGAGAAAGAGAGAGAAAATATGAAATAAAGTGAGAAAAAGGGAGAGTGAAAAAGTGAGAGAGAATATATGAAATAAAGAGAGAGAAAGCGAGAGTGAAGATATGAAATAACGAGAGAGAAAAAAGAAAGAGAAAATATGAAATGAAGAGAGAGAAAGAGGGATGGAAAATATACAATAAAGAGAGAAAAGAGAGAAAGAAAATATGAAATAAAGAGATAGAAAGAGAAAAAGAGAAAAATATGAGCTACAGAGAGAGAGTAAGCATGAAATGAAGAGAGAGAAACAGAAAGAGAGTCAAAATACAAAATCCAGAGAGAGAGAAAGAGAGAGAAAATATGAAATAAACAGAGAGGAAAAGAGAGAGAAAAAGATACAGATAAAATATGAAATGAAGAGAGAAAAAGATTGAGAGAGGAAATATGAAATGAAGAGAGAAAAAGAGAGAGAAAATATGAAATAAACAGAGAGAAAGAAAGACAGAGAGAAAAAGAGAGAAAGAATACAAAATAAAGAGAGAAAAGTGAGAGAAAAAATACGAAATCAAGAAAGAGAAAGAGAGAGAGTGTAAATATGAAATAAGGAGAAAGAATGAGAGAGATAAAATATGCAATAAAGAGAGAGAGAGAGAGAAAAAGCGAAAGACAAAATATGACATAAAGAAGAAAGACATAGAGTGTAAATATGCAATGAAGAAAACGAGATAAAATATTAAATAATTCTGTTATTAAAAATTAGCAATTGAAAAATAATGACAAGCAAAGCTTATAATAAAAATCAAACAAGCATTTCAGTGGAAAATAAACGGATGACTTTAGTTGAGTTACTAGCTAAATTAAATTTGTGAAATCACACAGGTTATAATTAAAATTCTAATTAAATAAACTAATTTTAAATTGCAATAAACTATTCATAAAACTGGTAGTAACCACGAACAAAAAAAGGAATTCACATATGAAGTTCATCTAGAATTAAATGTATTTTGATTGAACTAAATAAGTATAATTATTTTCAAAATATCTAATAGAAAATAATTTTAAAATGTTTAACGCTTATTATATCTGCATATATAAGCATTATTCAAAGAATCCGGTTTATGTAAAATATTCGATGCCTAAGGTGTGAAGAGAGGCAAGAAGATTGTTTTGTTTGCAAAGGTAGCAACAGAAGATATCACAAAAAGAGATTAAAAGCAAATAGTTATCAGGTTTTATTTTTACAACAGAAAATGAAATTTCTCAACTGGAAATGAAACATTGTGTGAAAATATTTTAATTTTGTATTATTCGTTACTTTTCCGATGAAAGAAGAAAAACGAAGAAAAAAAAAATGTAAGAAATAGGTTCCATGCCGTCTGTCACGGTTGACGTTAATTTAGTCTAAGGTTAATTTAGAATTCTTATAAATATCGTTAAGAAAAGACAGAAAAGAAAGATGAGTTTATAATTCTATAAAGCTTTTTTAATTTTATTTATTTATTTTTTTTTAGAGACACTTCTTTCATCTGATCTCAAATATGTTCGTTTGTTTTTGAGGCAATGCAGAAGGATTTGACTGTATTCATGAATACTAATTCATTGTATTCCGTTTTTCATACAAAAATAAATGCCTCGATAACAAATCGAGAAATTTGTTTTACTTAGAGTTTTAATAATTAATTTTGTTTGCTCCACTTGACTTTCAGCCAATAATCGCCAATGCGTATTTATTTGCTGTGCCTTTGTATAGGAATCCCTAAAATTTTCTAAATCAGATCACACTAGTGTATACCTGGTGAGCTTAGACACATCGTGCCACGTACACATCGTCGAATCAGCCTCATTGGGAAACAAACTCCAAAGAGAATACTTACTCGATTACTACAATCTTAACTGCTCCAAGGCATGGCTCAACTGTTATCTATCTTACATATCTTCATAATCTGAAACTTAGTTCTTCCTGTTAGTCCATACAAAGCGCTCACTCAGTAATTTCCTTTTGAGTGACTCTTGAGACTTCTATTAAATGAATATTTTGAAAGGAAAAATACACACAAGGAAGGTTTAACCAATAAATGGTTAGTTGCTTCCATCTTCGAAAACGTTACACTGGCTAACTTATCATTTCGTTTGATTCAGTGTTAAGACTTCGTTAAGTATATTCAATGAAAAATAAAAAAGAAAAGAATTCTTTCTTTAAGGACAAAAAATAAAAAAAGAGAAGAAGGAAAAGAATTGTTTAAACAATAATTGCTATTAAGCATTCTTCTTCAATATCTAGACAAATTTCTTTTGAGTTAATAGACATTTAATTATCAAGCGAAAGGGCTTGATTTCGTGTGTTCTTTTCTGGAAAATCCCGGAACATCGTGATAAAAAACTCTCCCTGCTTATTTTTGAAATGTCTGCATAAAAATAAAAAGCCACATATTGTAGAAAATAGAATGAAGTCTCCAGAGAAAACAGAGAATAACGTGTTCATTTTGGTTTTGTTGTGTCCTTTTAATTCTTTAGAAGCTGAGGCTTCGTAAGTTTGATATAAATCTAGGAATGAGAAAAAAAAAACTTTTTATTTCAGTCGTTTAAATGGTATTGGGTTTTAAAAGGAATTCATCGGGAATATTACGAAATAGAAAGCAATACAATCGCAAAGAAAAATAATTTTTATTCCTAAAGTCATATTTGGAAGCGATTCATATTTCAATAGCAAATGAAAAAAAGTCAATCTATTTGCTTTTATTGTTTTTGATGTTATTCAGCCAAGAAAACCTGCAGGAAAACGAGAAGAAAGGACACAAGATCAATTGTAAAAAGACAGTATATATATATATATATATATATATATATATATATATATATATATATATATATATATATATATGGTTGTTAGCAAGAACAAACAGATCAACATACAAATTACAAATAGGAGATACCAAGCCAAAATGTAAAATTTTAAATATCTAGAAATTGTTTTAACAGAGGGGAGAATATGCGACCCTGAAATTCAAATGCGTATTGAGTTAACGAAAAATGCCTTCCAAAAGTTAGGCAAAATATTAAGAAACAAGAAAATTTCATTAGAAACAGAGCACTGAACTGTTATGTAATATCGGTACTCCTCTCTGGCAGTGAATGTGTTGTAGAGTAGTTTTCATGGTGGAGGCTTGTATTTCACTAAGTCGTCCTAAATTAGGTCCGCCGTACAAAACGTTAGGAACTTGAAATAAGAGTTAATGACGCAGCAATCTAGTTGTGATGGTTGATACTTCAATGTCCGACATCGACTGACTCGCTCAACACCACTGAGCCCAACTGGCGACCGCTACTACTACTACTACTTATTATGTGTAGGAGAGTCTATTAATAATAGAATAGGTACGTTCAGGTATGACAGAATGTTAGACAATCTCGTCACAGATATACCGTTCTACAGATATCACAGATATACCGTTCTACAGAAGGATGTTGAGAAAACAATAACTTGAACGCGTGAGCAACGCTGCAGTTTTAGGGAAAATAAAAACAAAAAAGAAACTTATACATAGCACCAGAAAGAGACAATTGAAATTTCTAGGATACATAATGAGGAAAACAGGTTTGGAAAATTTAACACTCACAAGATATGTTGAAGGCAAGAAAGACAGTGAAAAGCAGCTAACAACATAGCCAATGAACTTGTGTAAATGTCTAGCCGAAAAGGCATAAGGAAAGATAGCAAAAGACAAACTATACTAAGAACTACAAGGAACGGGAAGTTGTGGAGAGCCATAATTTCCCATGTCCAGAATGAAGACTGATATAAAAAATAAGAAGAAGAATACGAATGTGGGTGAATAAATCTGTAGTAGAACGCTACAGATTTAGTGATGTGCATATGTATATATATATAATATAAAGTGTTTTCTTTATTACTTGACAATTACTGCAACTCATAAATACTAATATATCCCTCATAGATCTCAGTAAAAAATAAAATTATATACTTTACTAAATTCAATACCACTAACTTTATCATTCGCAATAACTTCTCCCCACTAATTAACGGAATATATTATATATATAGAGAGAGAGCATACGTAAATCATGGCCTGATGATTGCGTTTAGCATGAAACAGATTTTCACTTCTAGTATGTTGATATTAGAGTCCACTTTATATATATATATATATATATATATATATATATATATATATATATATATATATATTGCACTTGTGTCTCTGTATATTCGGTCCAGGGAGCCGTCTCTTTGCAAGCAAAAATACTGTCTCCTTGGGCTTCACGTTATTAGACTCTAGTGTGTATATATATATATATATATATATATATATATATATATATATATATATGTGTGTGTGTGTGTGTGTGTGTGTGTGTGTGTGTGTGTGTGTGAAGAATTATAGTCTTAAAATGTGCTATATTTATAGGATAAAGTGCTCAATATCAGAGATAGATCGTGTGTAAATATAAAAGTGAACATAGAAGTCAACACCTATCTGATCACAGCTCCATTAGAACCCATTTAAACACACACCCAAATTTACCCGCCTCCATTAGGAACATACTAGTAGAAAACACAAGTATATTAAATGCATCCACCTGCAAAAAAAGACTAAAAATAATGGAAGCTTTAATAATAAAAAAGAAAAAGCCAACTCTTAACCATATTAACTACGAACCAAGCCACAATGTGCTAACCGTATTCGGAAATTAAAAACATGCCTACCACACACTAAGAACACACACTCAAATCAAACTGAAAAATCGAATCATCCTTGATAATGGCTAAAGGTATAGCCGAAAGCGCTCGGAAATATAAAACATTTGGGCAGTTCTTACACACCCTTTGTCCAGAAAAGAAAGCTCTTGTTCGAACACAAGAAAAATTAAAAAAAAAGCTTAACCGTAGTACCTTGTCTGTCGTTTTTAATGAAACATGCATAAAGGAAGGATTGCTGCCTAAATATACAAATATATATATATATGTGTGTGTGTGTGTGTGTGTGAGTGTATGCGTGCGTGTGTGCATATATATATATATATATATATATATATATATATATATATATATATATATATTATGGTTTTTACTTATTTTGTTGTTGTAAAAATTGTAATTGCCCGATTTTACAGGTGTTCTGTTTATGCTTAAACGTAAAATTGATATAAAACTAGCTTTGTATTTTTCTCTGATTATAGTTTCGCGTGAATTCTATGAAAACAGTGACAGGTAAACGCACCTTTCATTTTACAGTTTCTCATAAGCTCTGGTAAAATGGTTTTAAATCTTCAACGCTTGAAATCGATTTGGTCCCACCCACTAAAATACGGAACCGAAGACGAGAAATGGTAATGATACTGTTGAGGTCGCCTTATAAGGAAACATTTAGCATTCTTTACCCGAGCAACCAATGCTAATCTCGGTTGCAATTTATCAAATGTTTTTTCTTGAGAGTAATGTGGAACATCAACATTTCGAATATGTCATTCGGCGCATGAGTTTTGGTTAAATTCCTTGGTTTTGATTGTTAAAGGTTCTGCTAGAATAATTGAAGAGACCCTGGAAGACTATGCCATGAGGAAATTAAAAAATATCCTCACAAATACAGCTGAAATCTTATGAAGGACTTTATCAGTGTAAAATGTTTTAGATCTTAGGTAATTTTATCTTTAGTATTATTTTACACTAATACGTACTGGGAAATATCATGTCATTACTAACCTTAGGTCTCTGGTTGGAACC